TTGAGTAAACCAAAACAAAAAAACCCTCAAAAGGTTGTAGCAGCATGCCAAGCTTTATCAGACCACCTCAGTCATAATCTATAATCCATGACTGAGGATGTGTTGACCATGTTGGCCTAAAGTGGGCCTATTATAATCCATTTTTGTATGTTCATGAAATTGTTAAAATATCACAATTTATGTTTGAATTTTTAGCCCAGAAAACCACACATATGTTCCATGTACAATTCATTTACACCCATTGTGTTAGTTCTGTTTCTAACTGTGACTTTTAATGGCATTGAGTATTAAGTCTGTGAACTGCTACTGTGAGTGATGGGGAGGAGCAAGCTGGGACCACATGCAGATGACTGCAATTTTAACTTATTTTATGACTATTGTTCCTTTTATTAATTGTGTTTTTTGTAAGGTGACCTTGGGTTTCTGAAAGGCGCCCTCAAATAAAATGTATTATTATTATTATTATAAGGAAGTTAATGTGAATAAAAATGTTATTTCTACATTTTTAAAAAAAAAAGGTTTACATGTCATTTCCTTGTTCTTAATTTGTATGTATATATAGAGTGTCAAACAGGACATTGCAGTTCTAAAATATAGATTTTTTTCCATTTGTTTCCACAGTTTCTGATTGTCCCAGTATTAAAGTTTCACCTACCACCCTTTTAAGATTCAAGAGGAAAAACCTGCACATACAGATCTGTTCACCAGACTGGGCTGTTCATACTGGTTTTGAATTCACCATCACCTTCAAACCTTAACACAGTTGATGATCTACAGGGAAAAGAAGAGAGCCTGTCTTGCACTGGCAGTGACGTATGCATTGTACAGCGGTGGTTTGCAGCCACATTGTTGTTGTCATGGTTTCGTTCACTGTGGTGGAAGACTGGGGTGTGAGAGTGGCAGATGGTGTTGCAGCACCTGCAGTGATGTGGATGTTGTAAGGGTCTATTGTGGTGAAGAGAGAGCTGAGTGAAGATAAAGTTGTCATTTTACTGGTTCAGTAACACAAAGATGTGGTGGTGGTAGTGTGATGGTGGGGGGCTGCTTTGCTGCTTCAGAACCTGGGCAACCTGCTTTAATTGATGGAACCATGAGTTATGCTACCTACCAGAAAACTGGTGACCAAGTCTTGAAGAGGCCTAGTCTCATTAAATCTGGATTAAAACCCCTCCAATGTGCCTGATTTAAAACAATTCTGCAAAGAAGAGTGAGACAAATTTACTCCAGTTCTTGTTGGCAGGGGCGGCACGACCAGGTAATCAGTTTAGAGAACAATTACTTTACTTTTTCACATATGGCAGGTAGGTTTTTTTCCCCTCGTGGGACAAAGTGTGACGAATATGCAAGAAGAAAAGAAATTAGGAAGTGGGAAAATAATTTATATTCCTACCCTCACCTACAGTGGGTAAGAGAGGGGGAATGAAATTCTGCCAGATGGTGTGTTGACTTTTTACTTTTACTCCCTACATTTTTTCACAAATATCTGTATTATTTTTTACTCCTAACAATTTCAAAACAGGCTCTTTACTTGAGGGTTTTGGCATTTGAGAGAAGTTTTTATTTACATCATTGCAAGTCTTCAGTCAAACTAATATAGGCTTAAATGATGTAACAATAATACAGAAAAGAAAAAAACATTTTCACATGCAAAAAAGAAAAAAAGAGAGGCAAAAAATATCTAATTTAGTGTATGCATCATTTACAGACCCATACTCAGCTGTTAAAATTGTGTTTTGTCTACAAGTTGAGGTCCTTGTATTTTAGCATCTAGCTAGCGCTAATGCTCCTTTTCATTAGCGCTAGCTAGATGCATAAAGCGGGGAACATAGTATGGTAATTTCAATTGCAGTGTTTCTCTCAGCTCAGCAGGTTTTAACAAACACAGAAATAATATGTGCAGTTTGTTACACAGTGTGTCTGCTAGCTAAACATGATGTATTTCCCAGGGAGAGAAAACAGTACGAGATAACTCTACTCAGGATTAAGATGTTAGAAAAATGGGGCAGAAGAGGAAAAGAAAGATTATTTTAACAGCTAAGGGCTGCTCCGTGGCATCTGATAAACTGGAAATGTAAAGCTAACATGTGTTATTCAAAGGCTGCATGAAAACACTGGGCAGGTTAGCTTGCCGAGTATGTTTTTTGTTTAACTAGTAAAGCTCAGAGCAGCACAGGTACACAAAGAAAATCTACTAGAGCGCTTAAGAAAAAAATGATCGTGAGTAGTGATTATTTATGTGTTGACAAAGTTAAAAAAATAAATATAAGAAAACGAAACAACAACTACAAACAGTTTTACTCCCGTGTACTAATATTACTTTATAATTATGTTATTGTCGCACAAGGTTCAGTTAGCTCTGGACAAAAATAGCTGATAAGCTGAAAAAGCTTCCTTTTACTTTTCTTACTTTGAATGCATTTCAGACTTGTATTTTTTCACTTTTAATTGATTAAACTTTAAATGTTAATTAAACTTTTAACAGGGTTTTTTTTTTTTTTAAACAACTGCTCTCATATTAGTAGGGTCCAGTTAAAATGGGCTAAATGTGTACCTACGATGCTTCCTAAAAGCCTCCTGGGTTAGCAGGAGGAAACCTCAGGGTAAACCCAGGATATGTTAGAGAGATTATGTATCTCAAATGGCTTGTAAATACCTCATCATCCTAGTGGAAGAGCTAGACGTGATTGCTGGAGAGAGGAAGGTCTGGGCATCTCCCTTTAAGCTGCTGCCCTGCTGACGTTCGCCCTGACAAGGGGGTAAAAACACATGTGGATAGTGTTTTAGGTATGTTAAAAAAAGCAGACAAAATAATGAATTTTATTATATATGTCCCTTTAAAACCTTTACTTAGACCTACTCAGGAAAACTACTCTTCATAAAGCATTCCACCACCTATATTTTAACCGTTTTCTATTATTTTCAAGATCATCTGATTTTTGTGAAGGACAGACTTTTCACAACCATTCCAGGGCTGTCAAAGAACTGATAGTTCCAACAGATAAGTTAAGCATTCAAACATCAAGTACATGGGAGGGATTTAAAGCTGGCAAATGCTATCTTTTGCATTTAATTTGCAATTCCTTTTCTCTTGCTGCATCACAGGTCATCTGTGTTGAAAGCTTAAGTCGTTGTCACCAAGTAAATAAACCTCTGTCAGGTCCTCCATTTTTTAAAGCCGCCTATCATATCTATAATGTTTTATAAGTTCAGAGACAGTGTTCAGAGAGTTCATTGTGGTGCTTATATGCAAATGTACACCCACCACTGAATATTCCTTTGCCTAATTAATGGATTAAGAGAAGTCATTAGACACAGTGGGTGACTGGTGACAGCACTTTATTGTGACCCCAGATCAAAGAGTGGGTGTGCTTGAAGCTTCAGTTTGGCCAGTAAGCCTCATGGGAAAGACCTTCGTCATGGTCACCACTTACATTCAGCTCCCACACAGATAGCATGAATACACAGTAATCTATCACAGACACACTTGTATCATCTACAGCACTGCTGTAGATGATACAAGGCTCACATACAAACGATGGTTGAAATTTCCATTATTTTTAATTTCACGTCAGCATTACTTGGAGCTTTTTTTTTTAAATATATAGTTCTTTTAATTTGACATTTTGCTTCTGGCAAGTTAATTACTCTGTGTAAAATCTGATGACCTAACGTACAACTGGGATTTGAGGAGAGAAACTCCTTTTACCAGTGTGTGCGCCAGCTGTGATCCTTCACAGTAGTTAAAATGTTAAAATCAATATGCAATATGTCCACTCTGTTCGGAGGAAAAATTCCAGAACACCATTTACCTTTTTGAAGTGTTAACGCTCCACTTGCATGGTTGAGTCTTACTGCCTTATGCATGGTGTGAGAAACTGCATTTTCTGTTAATGTACAACATGAAACTAAAGCCTCAAATAATGCTAGATTTTCATAAGATCAATGACGTGACATTTAAAGACAGAAGGACACTGAATGCACAGAAAGGACTAACGCGTCATTTTATGCTCACTATTTTATTTTTTAGGGACTGCGAGCTTTCCTCTTTACAGTGGAAATGATTCAAATGACTAAACGAACATCTATCTGTTTCAGGTTGTTGCAGACACCAGAACCACCAGTGAACCTTTCTGTCTTTCTTTCTCTTCCTCTCTATCCTTCAGCCTTTCTCACTCTTTTAAGTATATCCTGAATTAATTCCATTTTCCTAAATGCTTATACTGTATTTTTTCCCATAATTGAAGATTTTTTTTATTTTACAATGGAGTAATTTCTTTTTTGTCTTCCCCTGCATACATCACAGCAGCCCTAAATGACTACTTGCGGGAATTTTGCTTATAATAGATAATTGCACCTTTTCAAGTCATCAAAAACGACACCCTACCAACAACAAGCCCACTGAACAGATTAGTCTGCCAGAGTGAATACTAATACTGATGTACTTTTCCCTCATTCCCTCCCGCTTTCCAAATAAACCTCCCCATCAAAACTGCCCAAATCCCCTCTGTGGAAGTTGATTTGCTAACTCTTGTCTCTCTTACTAACATGGTTCAGAATTCTTCCAATTTGATTACTTTCATGGGTGAATTTTCTTTTCCCTTACCTTTTATGATTTCAACAACTAACACTGTGTCATTCACGGAATGTAAACCATCTGTTGTTTTCTCTAATTAACTTGCGACTTACATACTAACAAATGTACTGTTATCCTTTTATACCTTTTATTTTTTTAATGAATTTTATTTTGAAAATGACCCTTAAAAACGAAATAGTTGCTTACAGTTGCTTTCTTTATTTCTTTATTTGGATGTTCTACTACAGCTATATAAAAAATAATATTTTCTTTTTCACTATTCTTTTTACAATCAAATTGCCTGATTTTATCAAAGGCGATTCGTTTTTTCTTTCTTTCCCACTTTTTTCGGGGCTTAGGTATGTTTTGAGTTTTTTTAAGGTTTGTCATTTTTTTTTCTTTCTCCTCCCCCTGTTTTCTCCTGAAGCACGCAGGCATTGGACACGCTATGGTAAACAAACTGCATTATATGGTAGATATCATTCTAATTGTCTTACACTTTGGTTTGCCCTGGGTTTTCCGTTACCTCTTTCTATTCTGTTTGCTTTACTGAAAGTACCTCCATCAATTCCAAGGTAGCTGGAAAAACTCCACCTTTCTGTTTTTATTTTAGCCCTCTCTCTGTATTTATATATGTTAACTGCTTTTTATTGCCATCCAGTTTCCCTTTCCTGTTAAGACTTAATGTTTTCATCCAATGAGGTCTGCTCAAAAGAAAAGATATAGGGAATTATATCAGTTTTTATTTTATTTTTTATTTTTTTGGTTGTTGTTTATTTTCTTTGTCTTTTCATTTGTTCTTCTTTTTAAACACTATCCGTATGAAGAAATAAAGAATCATGACGCAAGATATTTTCTCAATTTAGCATTCTGAAATTTTGATGAGAAACTATATTTTGTTATTCCCTATTCCCTTTTTAAAATTTATTTTGTATTTTTTAAGAAGAACCCTTGAAGTGAACGTACACAGCAGACTTTTCAAGCAGCCTACTCTGGCCATTCCAGTGAAAGGAAGTAAAAATACATTTTTCGCTTTCTGTTTTTATATCATTTTTTTCCCAATATTTTAAAAAGTGTGAGAGAAATGCCACTAAAGACACTGTTTTGCCATGGTATTTCAGTTAGACTCGTTTGGCATGTTATTGAGTGCCCTGTAATCTAGGTTTGCCGTCTTATGGTTTATAGAGTCATGAAGATTATTTACAGCTCTTGATTTATCGGTCAAAGCCCTCACTGTAAAGAAGGCTTCAAATGAGGGCTTGATCCCATTAGTGGCCTTAGGCTGATTTATGATCAACCTGGGGCTGTTCTCAGTCTTGTACCTGAACAGTCTTCCTCTCTTACGCGACGATGTGCGCACGTAATAAAAGGTTTTCATGGACAGTTAGTTCCCTGAACACAGGTGCAGGGATGATCAGACAGTTTTACACTGAATAACCAGCAAAGTGGGGAAAGTTTGGCGAAATAACTCGTAGACCTTTATATTTAAAAATACTTAAACAAAGACGGCCTGACAAAAGCCTTACTGAGATCTTATTTTACTAACTCCTATTAGTCCTTAGTACATAACAGTAATGCTGCCATCAGTGTGTAGCTAGAGCCAGCCTTACTTGCTTTCACTGGACTTGCCCAATCAATGAAGGAAACTGTCTGCCCATCGATGCAGACATAAAGGGAAGTGACTGGGAAAATCTGTGTACGATCGACCCCTCATTAACACTAACACTAACTTATATTTCTTATACTTTACTGCCCTCACCCCTTGCATGAAAAGACTCCTATCCCCTTCGATCTTCTTTTTGTTGTTGTTGTTTTTTGATACAAAGATTGCATTGAGTATATATGTATATGTATATATCATGGCTAACGTATATACATACATATATCAGTTGTCCTACTAAAATCAATATGGCCATAAGACATGTTAGCCACATTCTCCTTATTGTTTAATTTACTTTATTTTATTATACTTTGTTTTATTTCTTATATAATTTTAACTTCAAAATTAACTTACTAAAATGAATAATGACCTCACACGTTATCTTGCTGAAACAAAAAATAAGGGAAAAATAATGAGGGGAGACAGATTTTCATTTTCTGGTGAATAAAGAATTGATGCCCCAAGGAATAAATCTGGCCAATCCATCAAATCCCATGAGTTGGAAAAGAAAAGTGTTATGTGCAGAAAGCCACTGTATCTGGTAGTGACTCACTGAGTCTTGGCTCAAATTTGACAAAAGTGATAAAGCAATTTTCAACTCGCATCAGAAAAGCTGTAGTGAAATTGTAGCAGAGGCATAATGAGAACTGCAATCACGAGCAGATGTTTTTGTTTTTGTTTCTGTGTCCAATATCATGAAGGACGTGGACACTGGTGAAAAGCTATTCCCTGCTATTGGAACACTTTCTTTACTAGACTTTGACCAGAATTTGAACATCTTCTCTCCCCTCTCAGTTTTTCCCATTCTTTAAAAAACCCTCTCATGTGCGTGGATTCCATCTGTGATTGTTTACTCCGGTCCCATTTTCTCCAACTTCCACCTCCAAACTGAGTATCCAGTGGCTGTATTCCTGCACCATGTCTGCATGATTCTATTGGCTAGAAGTGTTCACATCAGCATTCTTATAGGGTGTAAATGCTGCTGTATCCCAGCACGTGTCGGTTTGTTGTACACGTGTGTTGATGCATTTTTTTTATGTTGCCTTCTTGTCTAAAACCCCGAACACTAAAAGCTCTCTTGCTTTTCCTTTTCCCATTTGTCTGGTGTCGTGATGCCCTGCGATTAAATTCACCCATTTTGTTGCATTTTGCCAGATGGTTTATTTTATATATTTCTTTTAATAGTTGACCTTTTTGTGTTGTGTCTCAATGAATTCTTGCTCCAAGCCCATCTTTCCGGTCATCTTTTTCATTTAAGTGCATGGCTTGTGTGTCACCCTGTTAGCTTGTATGGATTCATTTTGTTTCTTCTTAACCAAACAAACCCTTGTCACTTGAAATAACACATTCAGTCCAAATCTGGATCTGGTTTGAGCAATCAAATTGCAGAGGACTTTTAAAGAATCCTCACATACTTTTTTCACTATGACTAAATTGTTACTAATCTACTGTTTGGATAAAACCTTTGTTGTAACTGTACTAACAACCATTTTTGTGTCTGACTTTCCCTTACTTACAAAAATACTAACCGATTTTGTTCACCCTCCAACCCTTTTAACTCGTTTCGGCGCACAGTTTAAAACCCCTCTCTCTTGCACAAATGGCACTCGCCCCAAGCTTCCCAACCCTCCCCCCATGCCTTTACTAACTCAGGTTAGTTCGTCACTTCAGGGTTTACATGTCAAAACTGCACATTGAAGTGTAAGCATTAATGTTCAAAAATAGGGCTCTCTCCACTTGCGACCAATTAGGACTTTTGACTCGCTGCCAGACACCTATGGAAACCCATCGCATGGGTGGGAATGCATTCGTTTCTGTGTAATATATTGTTTCAACTCCTAAAGATAACACGTTGTTCCTTTTTTTAAAAGACCTATGACAGTAATCAGATGTTGTTCCAACAAGGGTAAGTGACACATTTCTATGTAAACATGTTCCCCTGCATGGATAAGTGTATTAAAGGAGTGATGGTACTGAAAGGAAAGAAATCTCTGACAAATGGGCCTTATGAAGATTGGATGGTCAAAATAATGGCTGTTGTTGAATTTTAGATAGAACATGAAGTAATCGTGGACGACTGATACAAAGTGAAAATTTATTTTTCTTATATATGGAAACCGTACGACTTCCATGTGTACGTAACCAGTATCGTCTAGGCACATTCTAATGTTCTTTTTCACTTTTATTTTTATTCTTTGGGTGAGTATTGAAACATTGTTTCTTATTTTCTTTAAATGTAAGTAGTTAATGTGAATTTCTGTGTATGCACATGGCAAAAGATTGGTGACTTGGCCCTATTCAATCACAAACTGATAGCAGACTGATTCCATCTAACTGCGATGTTATTGTCATCTTGATCAAAGTCACTTTGCAGACAGCTGACTGTGGCTGCATTTCTGGTCCCCATCTTTGAACCATTTCAAAGTCATCCAAGTTGGAAGTTTATTGGACATAGTGGCAATACTTTTGATTGTGCCACAGTTTCCAAATACTGTTTTCCCTATTGTGACTGTAGCATAGAATTAGTTAGAAATATGCTCAAAATGTCCATAGAAGCCACATCTGGTTTGGAATAGACTACATTTAAAGTCCAAATTAAAAAAAAAAAAAAAAATAGTCTGTTGGTAGATGTTGATTTATCAGGAACAAGTAGACATGAGAGAGTGGCTGAAAGCAGAGGTTAATCGCTTAAAAGAATCAAGTTCAGCAGCATGCGAGTAGGTGAAATAGATTGCTTCTTATGATTTGAACCCTAGAGCTGTGCCAATCTCTTCATAGTGTATTCAGCTGTAAACATCTTCATTGTGTCTTTTATACCTGGGGCAATCAGTTCAGCAGAGTTTAGCAAGGTCTTCTTGGTTTTCTGTAGGTACAGGGCTAAACAGGTATCTAGAGAGCAGCTGGGTAAAACCAAGAATCCAATAAAGGCTGCAGCTGGGGCTTGAGTTAAGTCTGTGTATTATGTGCTGTATGTGCTGCTTGTTGGAGGCACACGAGAAAGGCCGGAAAAATGACGTTCACACAGAAAAGAACAGCGAAGAATGCTAGAAATGTGCTAATTAATCTGATGCAGTTTTATATTTGTCATCCTTCCTTTCTGGAATTTTCACATTAAGCTTTGTTTCAAGAAAGAAACTGTGATCACACAATTACACCAAATAATATTCAGGCCATATGCTGTGTGCACCCAGGATGCTATTTTTTTCCCAACGAGAAGAAATAGCATTATGCTGCCAACAACAGCATAATTTTGAAATTGATGAGAACGTTGCATATAAAGACAAATTTTAATTGCACTATTGCAATTAAAAGTTGGTCAGTTACTTTGAATGCACAAGGAGCTGCTTGTCTAGAAAATAGACTGATCAATCCACAGAGTCTAGTTTACTTTTTTAAGTTGATCAGTACTTATGCTTATAAGTGTTGCACACTTTGTTTAGTTAAATGTCCAAATTTACATTTTTTCATTCTAATTTGAATTCAGAAACAACTCTCAGAGAGAAAAAGCAACCAGAGACTGTCTCATAGAATGGGAATATTTTACTTGGCGTTTATTCAAAGAAAAGTCTAAATACATTTATAGCACATTAATTAAAATGGGAACGCATGCGGCGTATTACAACTTGCAACCTCTGATACCATCAAGCCCTTCCTTCCTTCCTTCCTGTGTGGCCAGTGATGCAAGGGCTTGTAATTTTGTCAAAGGAATGAGTGTGT